TCCACTTGGTCTTTTATGAGAGTTTTTACTGTATTTGTCTTTTTCCTTGAGAGCACACCTGCATCCGTCATTCGTCAGGGTGAATTATTCACTTGCTTCATTTGATGTACTTCTGAAACAAATTCAAAAAGGTTAATTTTAATTTGATCTACAGTCAGGAGAGAGGATGAAGGGTAAACAAATTCATCCCCCTTATAGGCCTTGTCCTCAATTTAACTCCTCTCAAGTTATTTTTAGACATTGTTCCAGTTCTTCCGCGGGTAATGTTATTATGCGTGTAGATTTGGACGTGGACGATAAAAATGCGTGTAAAGTCGCTTGAGTTGTTCACGTGAGCAAAATCTATGTCACGGGATTGGGTATTACTAGACTCTCCTGGGATTTGCGAAACCCAGAGTAATCCCAAAATAACTTGAGGGAAATTACCTTGGAAATAAGGGCTTTACAAGGGACGATAAATCAATTGAAATATTACAGTAAGATGCAATCCTGTGCTTTCAATGTGAAATCCGAGATTTCAGTTTCAAGGTCGTTTCAGTTCCACCGCAAACTCGAAAGCTTAGCAAATATTTAACAGTTATTTAAAAAGGTTGAGCAAAATATCGTGATTTGTCATAGTTCAATGATTGTTTTGTTATTCGATCACCAAGTTTGATTTCACATTTAAATCCCTGAAGCGATCTGCTATTTTTCACACAGGAGCGTGGTTACAATTGCACTTGGGCAGAATCAACTTTGAATAACTGCAGAAATTCTCATTGGCTAATTTTCATTGTCAATAAGCCGACAGGCACATGAATTTTGTCCCTTCTCCCATTTTGTTATTGTGAAAAACAAATCGACGGCAGTTTTTCATCAGTCTGTCCTGTTATTGACAATTATTTTTATCGCAACATTGTCAAAGTAGTCTGCAGATCCACTCAGCTACTTTGNAGGGAAATTACCTTGGAAATAAGGGCTTTACAAGGGACGATAAATCAATTGAAATATTACAGTAAGATGCAATCCTGTGCTTTCAATGTGAAATCCGAGATTTCAGTTTCAAGGTCGTTTTAGTTCCACCGCAAACTCGAAAGCTTAAGCAAATATTTAGCAGTTATTGAAAAAGGTTGAGCAAAATATCGTGATTTGTCAGAGATCAATAATTGTTTTGTTATTCGATGACCAAGTTTGATTTCAAATGTAAATAACTGAAGCGATCTGCTATTTTTCACACAGGTGCGTGGTTACAATTCCACTTGGGCAGAATCAACTGCCCAAGCCGACAGGCACATGAATTTTGTCTCTTCTCTCATTTTGTTATTGTGAAAAACAAATCGACGGCAGTTTTTCATAAGTCTGTCCTGTTATTGACAATGATTTTTATCGCAACATTGTAAAAGTAGTCTGCAGATCCACTCAGCTACTGTGGCAATGCCACATGACGAAATTCATGATCAATAACAGGACAGACAATTTTCGCTTGACTATGACCCCTCATGAAAACAATAGTACTGAACTCGTGCTAAACGGAGATGGACTGTTTAACGGCGTAATTAAAAAGTTGAAAATATGCCGTCTAACTCTTTACTTTTACATATACCCTTACTATTTAATACGTACACCATTGCCTTTAAATTTCCAGTAATATATCAAACATGAGAGACAGTCTTTCATCAGGATATCCAAAATCCGAGAAGAGAGTTGAAAATACGAAGCGCAGCGGAGTATTTTTGACGAAATTCCGTGTTTGGATAGCCGATGAAACACTGTCTCGAGCGTTTGATATATCTTCTCAATCGAAACAAAAACTAAGGAGTAAACGGAGAAATAAAATCGTCAA